TTTTTTTTTTTTTTTTTATTTACAATTTTCATGCACTTTCCCACATCCCTGAGGGAAAATTATTTTGGTGAATTTCACTATAATTATTACAAATTCCTCTCTAAAAATCTTCTTTATCATCTTTCACTTTCACACACTTCTATCCTCTCCGCCCTTACTTCCCTCTTATCCTCTCCCCGTTAAGTATAAATTGGGAGTTTAAATTTTGTCATGCCTGTTTAGACTTTAGAGCACTTACGATTATAAAGTAAAGAGGCCAAAACAAAAAATACATTTTGCACGAGATATATAAAAAAAGAGTGAATAATAATGAAGATGGACTTTATAGCTGACACGAACTTGACCTTAGGACATATAGGTGATGGGTGATCAAGAAATTTCTTGGAAAAATGAATTCTCTCAGAACTTTAGGAGTCTTATCTGACTACCATGTTTGAAATGCAATAATAAAGTTATGCTAAAATTATAGGTACTATACTCATAACAAGAGACGGAGACTACATTAGATGATATAAATAATTATTATTTATATTTTCATAATTATGTTATCTAAAGTCTTAATTTTAATTTTTAAGTATAAAATAAATTATATTAAAAAGAGAATATGTATTTTATGTACAATTAATTCTTCTCTGATGAAAATGATCATTACATTCAACGATAATATTTTGTAAGGATAATATATTAAAAAATTCTCATAAGACATAACGAGAAAAAACATGCAAGCAGAAGAGGCAAAATGATAAAGGAAGACCGATCTTCATAGGAGGAACTTTTGACATCGGGGAGTACATGGCTTACCGCTTCGGTCCTGTTTCTTTACCTGTTTATCTCACTTGGTTTTGGTCTGCTATATGTTGCTGTTGCATTATGCCATTGTTATGATGATTATTTATGTAAAAAATATTATTTATGTAAAAAATTCGACATGATGAGTCCGTTTCAGATTAAAATTTAATTATAATGCATGCATCTTTGAATTTACGCAAAGCACTAAACTTGTTTGTTTTTCCTCGATCTTGAACTAAGACAAAAACATAGAAGGAGAATGTAAAATTGTTGTTGCATTATAAGCAACTAAAAATAACTATATATTCAGATATAAATAATGTCTCATCTTAATACAATAAAAAAATAAATAATAATTTATAAAATATACACATATTTCAATAATTGAGAGATCTTTTAAATGATAATCAAAAGTAAAAATATAAGAGTTTAAATTTAAAATGAATAATATCTTATTATGGAGTTGAATGTGAAATAATCTTACAAAAATAACTCTCAAACAAATTGTCAAAAAATTAATTCTAATAATATACACCGAAAGAACTTATATTGTTAATAAATATCCTTTTTAGATATCCTTTCATATAATAATTAAAGAAGAAGATTTTATGGTTTAACTTTAGGAAGCTATGATAATATAATTTTGTAGATATTTTCCTTGTAGTCTATTAATTTTGTTTTGTGACTCTTTTACTTCTAAGTCATGTAGTCTATTATAAAGGTCCAAAGTTGTTAGTTTAGATTGTTTGACATTTATATTTTTAATTAAAAATTAAAGTTTAATCTTTATTTTAGATATAAAGACACAATTATAGATATTATTTTATTCTTAAAACAAGTTTAAGAGAATCTTTTTTTTTTTTTGGTGTTGGTAAGAGAATCTATTTAGATACACGTTAGAAGTATTTTAAAAGATTTCTTTATTAATAAATCTGATCATCACGTTATCAATTTCTAATTTTTAAAATTTTATAATACCTAATAGTGTGATATATACATTTCTTAAATTTTGGTCAATTCTAAAAAAAAATACATTAAATAGAAAACATATAAAAGTAATAGTATTTAGTATAAGTTAACAATTTGTATACATAGCTAATAAGGTGGGAAAATGCTCTTCATGCAGGTAATAATAGGTGCGTTGTGATTTTGGTTAGTAGTGCCAAATTTATGTAAGCCAAATTTGTTTGCGCAGTCATAATCTACTCGTTTTGCATGCTATTTGGTGTGGTAGTATAGTCTAGCGGCTTAATTATTAGGCTGTATGAGTTGATGGGAAATGAACACGCCAATAAACACTTTACACCAATCTATACTTTGCTTATCAACTCTATTATCCAAATCTAGACGCCAACCATGTCACCCTTAAAACTTACTTTTACCATTTGCCACACAAATATTTAAAAATAAGAAATAATGTCAAAGTATGATGACATTAGTTTAAGGCCAGCGATATATATATAGAGAGAGTAAGATGACATTTTTATAACTATTTTTTTTTAATTTAAACAATAAATATGTTCTTAAATTTTTAATTGAAAAATTAAAAGCCAACAAGATCTAATTCTTACAGTTTATTTGAATAACATTTTTTTTATTTATTAGAATCAAATTCGGCATCAAAATTTTACTACAATCTACGCAACTCAACCAAGTGAGTTAAATCTCATTGGTAATAAACTAATGTTCATAGGAAAAGAAAATAAAAAATAAAACAAAATATTTTTATTCACATAAGTTAAAATATCAATTTATAAATAAATTAATTTTAATTTATGAAAAAATATTTTATTTTATTTTTCTGTTATAAGTATTCGTAGAAAATTCATCTAAAGATAACTTTTAATATTAGACTATGTTAGATTAATTATCTAAAGGCTAAAATTATCATAATCTAATTAATGTTTGGATAAATAAAAACGTTATCACGTGAGAGCTTACATTAATACTATGAATCTTGGTGAAGTAGGCTAAAAAAAGTATAGATGAAGCCTCAAACCATTTTTTAAATGTTGTTTTGGTAGCAAGTTAGACGAAGACTTATGGAAGATTATTACATCTTTAGCATGCCCTATCACACAAAGAGCCCCTCCGACTTCGAAGCATAAATGATGCACATGTCCTTTAATCATGTGTTTATATTAAAGTTCTTATTAAAATAGAGAAGGGTAGGTAAGAAGACGTGTGATTGATTTTATAACATATTACAACTCAAATAAAAAAATGATGCTCAAGTCCTTTCCTAGACCCTAAACCCAAATGACATGGGTAATTTGTATTAATCCAAATTTATTGCATGGAATTGTTGAATCTATATATTTCGTTGGCAAGGCTTTCCGGCAGAGATGCTCTGTAAAATACCAACAGCCAAACAAAAAATATTTTCTTTCAGTGTTTATATCTCCTTAATTATTAGAATGATGATAATAGAGTTTAAATTAACACTATATATATTTTATCTCCATCACTTACTGATAATATCATGTCAAAGGACTAAATCTTAAAAGAGTCGAGAGGAGTGAACTAAGTTCAAAGAAATAAAACTTAGACTCTTATTATGCTTTGAGTCATTTTCAGTAATTTACTTTCTTTTCTTTGTAAATAATTTTTTTACCTTTTATTTTTTAATCAAATAGTATAAAAATTTATTTTCTTGTAATTAGTATTTTAGTGGAGTATAACTAAAAAAAAGATATATGAATTTATTGAACTTGAATAACTCATGAATACTTCCTTGGATACATGGTCCAAAGAGATGGTCACCCACTTCCTCAAGACAAGTAGGTCGGACGCAACTTTCATGGTCATCCAATTGTCTTGTAATATAATCTAAAGGACTTTTTTTTTTTTAAAATGTTTAAGTTTGTTATTATTAAAACTTATACCTTGAGAAACCAATATCATCTTTTGATCTAATGCCTTGCTAATGAAATATCTCTAACTCACAAAGATGAGAAATTTGTATTACATTCTCTTACACCTACCCAAATGCAAGAGGATTCAATGCAAATGAAACTTGTGAGGAAAAAGAAAATAAGAAAATGAGAGGGAAAGAAAAACAACTTCTAAATGGCAAGATGAGTGAAAAGGAGGAAAATGTTTCTTCCTAAGTGATTGTCAAAAAAGAGCGTAATTCTTATAGAAAAAGTCAAATCAGGAGAGCTCTATATCTTAAGCAATTACATGCTACACCACTCAATGAGTTGGTAAAGAACATTTTTCCTTCCTTTTGGGATGGAAAGCTACTTGAACAGGCTTTTCAATCCTCACAAAATGAGCTCTTTAATGCATATGATCTAGCTCTTCCAAACATTTCTAAATCTTTTGAACTAGAATATTTTGCATGTGAATTAGGTGTAAAAGTTGTTTTATTGAAGGGATAAGACCTTGTTAGCTCTTCCAATCTTGGAGACAACACTTTATTCCTAAGAAGTTTCTTAGTCATAGCGACTCTAGGTCATCTCATCTTTTTGAAAGACAAGGAATTTTAGGTGTAGATAATTTAATTTCTAGTATCCTAGGTGACCACATAGGACACCAAGACAAGTCCTTTTAGAAGTTAGTCATCAGCCTTTTTTAGAAAAACTAGAAAAATATAACGAGTGTTGATAGTGATGTAGGACTTACAAAGGTACAACAGGACCTCAAGAAAATAAAAATCCTTAAGGATAGGTTCATTCCATACTTAGAGAGGATAAATTGGTTAAGCTTCTTTGATCATAAAGAAAATATCACTTTTAATGTTTATACATTACTTTCTTTTGTAGGTGTTAAAGAAGAAGAAAGAACTTGTAAGGACAAATCCTCTTGAAGAGGAGGGAGATGATGACATCGTGCTAAGGGACTAAATCTTAAAGAAATCAAGAGAAGTGAGCTAGGCTTGAAAAAAAAAGGTTCAAACTCTTATTGAGCTTTAGGTCACTTTTAGTAACTTACTTTCTTTTCTTTGTAAATATTTTTCCTTATAAATATTTTCTTTTAAATTTGTATTTTTTGAGTTAAGTAATGTAGGTATTTATTTATTTGTAACTAGTATTTTAGTGGGGTGCAATTAGAAAAAGAGATATGGACTTATTGAGTTTGAATAACTCTTGAGCACCTCCTTAGGCACATGTTCTAAAGAGATAGTCATCCACTTGCTTAGTAGGCCTGAGCATCGGTCGGCCACGGTCGGTTTCGGACCAAAATTCTTAAAATCATCCGAAACCGATTAAGAAAAATCAGGAGCCATTTCCGACCGACGAAGAACTCGGGTTTTAGCGGGTTCAATCCGTGCGGGTTACGGGTTCATCGGATGGATTCATCGGTTTGAGAAGCTTCCTCTAGCGTCTCGTGCCGCCATCCTTCGTCACTCTTTGCCGGTCTCTGTTACTGCTTCATTTGGGGGAAATCACGGAGTTTCAGATCTCCACATCACCACCTTCATCAACCAGAACAGGGAGCTTCTCAGTGGCGGTAGCCATGGCAGGAATAAGTTGAAGAAAAGAGGATGTTTACGGAGTGAAGAAGAAGAAGAAAGAAGACAATGTGAAGAAGAAGAAAGAAGCAGAAGAAAGAAGACGGAGTGAAGAAGAGGAAAGAACACGGAGTGAAGAAGAAGAAGAAAGAAGACGAAGTAAAAGAGACGGAGAAAATAAACGGTGAAGACGAACGGTCGGATTCGGGTGCATCGGATGAGAAAATTCTAACACCGAATCCGACCGTTAAAATCCGTTTGAACCCGAAATTTGCTTCAGAAAAAATCTGAAATACCTGAGAATTAATCCGCTTCACCCGATCTGATCGTCGGTTTGGCCGGTTTCGGATCGGCCGGAAGTTTTTGCCCAGGCCTATTGCTTAGGACAAGTAAGTTGGCCATCACTTTCATGGAGGGGACAAGATGTCTCATCATGCATTAATTCAATACTCCAACAAACCACATGACTTTTCTACTCATACCAAATATGTAACTAAAGTTGGTTATCTTTAGTACAAGTTAACTATTCCTAGTTATACTTAATCAATGTTAGTATAACTTACACCATAAGCTAACCAAACTCTATAGATACATTTTTCCTCCATGTGCATACTTTTGAGTTTTTTGAGTAATAAAATTCATATTTCTCTTTCAAAAGTTCAATTTCTCTCTTCGAAAAAAACCTTTCCTTATAAATTTTTATCAAAATTTTTTTCCTTTAAACAAGTTTTTCACCTTTTTGTTTATCTTCACTTGAAATCATACATCTTTTATTTATTTTCTTCCACCATTTATAGATTTCTTTTGAATGTAAAGATTTATATAGAAAAAGATTAAGACTACATTAAAACTAGTTGAAGAGACACATCAATCATTTTCAAGCTAGTTTCATTGGGGAATGTAGGTGGACCATAATCATTTCTACATCTGCTACTCTATACAAATGATATTGATATTCTTTAATACTTCAGTGGGGTGTACAAAGCATAGTACTCAGAATTTATGTTCTTACATGCCTCGCACGGTTACATTTATCGTAGTGCTTGATTTATAGGTACTTCATTCAGAGTTCAAATAACAGATAACATCATATATATTTATGCCTATAAACAAACAAGATATTATACATATTATAATAGTCTCGGC